AGGCGACACGACCACGGAGGACACCGGGAACCGAACGAACGACGACAGCCACGCACCCACCGAACGTAGGACGTTCGTAAGGTAGGCGAGTCACACGACAAGACCAACGAATCCTAACGTACACACACACACACACACACACACACACACACACACACACACACACAGAAATGCACATGGACACACATTAGAACATCCACAGCCTCCTGGAGGAGAGCTTTCCAGTTTGAGAGGCACTGGATGAAGATGGACCTGGACACAGAGGCCTCGTCCACACTTCTTTCTGCCAGTCTGCCCTGGGACTGCGACATCCAGGAAGCTCTGCTGGGCCCTGCTGCTTGTGGGACCCCTTCTCGAGGACTGCACCTCACTGCCCCGGGGACACAGCACCGGCAGGGTGTCCTGGTGAGCGGGCTCCCTGAGCTGGCTTCTGCCAAGTGGCGATGACCTGTCCCTGTGATGGTCACACGCTGCCAGGGGCACGAACCTGCTCACCACGTGGCTCATCACGAGGTCACCACTCGGGGACCCGACTCACCCGGTCTGAGCTCACCAGGCTGAGGCTGGGGGCTGCTTCCTTCCTGGGCAACACCAAGGACACCGCAGCCAGGCATCCGGCATTTTCTCCCACTTGGCCATCAGACTAAAGAACCCAGCCATGTGAAGGTCCTCGTGGGGCCTGACCCCACACCCAGGCCTCGCCCCTCCTCACCCCAAAGGGAGCACCAGAATTAAGCAGCGGCACAAGCCATGGAACGACACAGGCAGACCCGATATAAATAAAATATTCATATAAAAATAGTCTCTTACAAAATATTCTCTCTTATCCAGTGGCTCACTTTCCGGAAGGTGGAAGCTGCTGGGAGTCTTAATGCTCCCTCTCCTCTCTCTCTGTATCCCAAACCGGACTTTTCTAGTGGGGACGCGTGAGCTGGGGAGGACTACAGGACAGGGGACGTGTTCTGGAAAACGCCCCCAATTCTGGACCAGCTTAAATTTCTGAATAATTAGCAGCAAACAGCAAAAAAATATGTGTGTGTGTGTATGTATCTATATGCGTATAAAGGATGTCTGCTCTGGGACTTGAAACATCTAGTGTTGCAAGGGGGTACTTGCCAGATCAGCTCGTAGGAATATCTGTGGAAAGAGCAGTGATGCACAGGTCTACTCGGCTCCTCGTCCTAGCGACAAACTTATCCCGCAAGGAAAGCTAGCGGTCCACTTCGATTGCAGAAAACGGATCCTGACGAGGTGGAAGGGTTCTTTTTAATTAAATAAATTAATATTATTTTTTATCAGAATAAACTGTTAAATATTGCTGTGATGAGGCCCAGGGCTCCAGAGTTCCTGGCGGGAACGAGGGCGCTGCTCCGGCCGCGGAGGGTCCTGGGTGGTGTGGCCCGGACGACGCGGGGCCCTGGCGGGAAAG